GAGGCTTGCCCACGCTACGTTTTCCAGCCCGTGGTCGCCACTCGAGAACTTTCCTGCCCCAACGGCCATCGTCTGTACGAGCTATGTGCCCCGCCCACTGCCACTTGATTTTAGCAATTCTTCGAGCTATGTCGGTTACTTTGGTTCTCCTGCGGATCTCCTCATTTCTGATTCGATCACACAGGGAAACTCCGAGCATAGCCCGCTCCATCGCCCTTTGGGTGACCTTGAGCCTTCTTATGAGGCCCATAGTAAGCGACCACGTCTCAGATCCGTATACCATCACTGGCAACACGCATTGGTCAAATACTTTCGACTTGAGACACTGCGGTATTTCGGACGTGAGTATATGGCGAAGCTTCCCGAACGCTGCCCATCCGAGTTGGATTCGACGATTGACCTTACGCCCGTATTCACAAACATTTCTATGAGGTCTCACGGTGCGCGTGGACGCAGAGGGTCCCACACGAACCAATCACAGAGCTTTATTCTGCTTCACTTAAGCAAGCATCGTTTGTGAATACGGGCGTTAGAATCCTTTTCTCTTCTTGAAAATAATACATTTTAAGAATTATTTTAAGCCAAGCTTAAATTAGATTTATTTAAATAGGTTCTAGTTTCACAACAAATATGGATATTGTGGGATTCTGTTAGGACTTTTTAGTTTACAAAATAGTAGCGTTTAGATTTAAGACAAGGTAACCTACTTTACATTCAAAATAAATTGATGTTTAACAGTTATACCAGTTATACTGAAACTTGGAATATGCTTAAAATCTCTTGAGATTTTCTTTGGATATAAAATGTAAACTTTCAAAGTTAGTGTTTTTAATCAATGAGAATTGGCTGTGGATTAAATGAAATAAAGTAAGGCTCAGCCTCCATCAATATTGCCAAACTTTGATTCTCTTAATTAATTCAATTAATTAAGTAAGTGGACTTCAGAATATTACATTTTCATAAGTCGTAGATTTATAAGTACCTATTAATTTGATATTTGAATATTTCTTCGTTAGTAAGTTAGTATTGAATAGCGTTATCACAATCATGATTAGCAATCTTTATGAATAAAAGAGTTAACTTTTTTATTTCCAAAATTGCCTATTTGACATTATCGAACTGATTGTCACGTAGTACAGGAGCGGTCATTAATTATATTTCGAGGCAGTGTACCTACTAAAAGCGAAACCACAGATTTTCATCATCAATAAATACCCCTTTGTCGGGTAGGCACTGCCTTGGTCGCGGCATGTGGAGTGCCTAAGAGCCGTGAAGGGTAGCTCGTCTCAAGAAGGACAAGTACCACTTCTGCTGCTAGTTCTCTTCACTTTCTATGATTAAACCAAAGTTTAAACCAAAAACATCTTAACAAATGAAGATAAAATTTTTCGTCTTAATTTATTAATGTTGGGTGATTTTCATGAGTCACAACATTAATCACGACATGACAAAAGGCTTCTAAAATGATAATATTACGCCTGGAGGAGTAGGTGATTGACGTCATTGCGCCGTAAGATCCTTTAACGAGAAACTTATAATCCACCCTTTACGTTCTAGACTTCTAAAGCCTTCCAATTAGAGAGTGTTCTTGTTTAAAGTTTATTTACTTCAGCAAAGTGCGGTCAATTCTCTTTCCTTTTGTCTGCGAAAGATTTGTTTATTTCAACTTTTTATTCGCCATGTTGGAACCGCGATTCCATTTTGTTTTCCGAGAGCTTAATTGAAACGTTTTGTGAGATTCACCCGCTTGTTTTAGCGACAAATATTCGGATTTCTATTTCCATTCTGTTAACAGGAATAATATAAAGCAGTTCGAACATTCTCAAGTAAATTGGGAAGGGAGAAGGCTCATAGCGACAGCACAGGTGTGGATCGATAAGTCTGTGAGAAAATTGCCTCCTGCAAAGGAGAACCTTTCATGTGTAAAGGATTTGGTAAAAACGTAAATTAAACTTTACTCGTGTATGACGTAGACATGGATTATTGTTTTTTTAGTAAGCTGAAGACACAACAAAATAGAAATACTCGATACATATTTGCAAACAAAACATCGTATTATATTTATAGCGTAGATAATAGAATAAAAACGTCAATGCTTGGCCTTTTTATAATTCTTTGTGTAATGCCCTTGAGGTGGCGACTGGTCTCCATTTTATACGATAGGTATTTTCATAAAAACTTCAGCTTAGTCTAGTTAATTTGAGAATCCGATGAAAATCTAAATCAATGTTGGTACACGTGCGTCGGCCGGTGGGCGGCCCGAGCCATCGATTGTACGGAACTAGCGGCTGATCCGGACTTAGGGCTTCATAAACAAGCGGCTGTATTATCCGCGCCCGACAGCGATACAGCGGTGCGAATAAATCCCTTGTTATACAGATTGGTCTTGCTTTAAGTGCAGGAAGGAAAACTTGATCTGCTTTTAAAATTCATTACTTAGGTAGTAGTTACTTACCCCTTAAAGAAAATAAAACTGTATCGAAAATCGAAATCTCATAACGTAGGTACCTACTTAATCAACCTCGGAAACTCAGAACAACTTTTCGGACGTTTAGAAGTTAGGCATCCAAGACAAATATCAAGACAAAATGTTTATTTACAAAATGTGAACTAAAATGATTATTTTTGTTATAGGCATTTATCAGAGTAGGTACATAATTAAGTCCCATAGTAAAGGTACACAGTTAATTTATGTATTAAAATAAGCATAGTTCTAAAATGCTAAATCCATTTGCGCTTGTGTGTAATCCCTATTCATACAACCCACAATCAATTAATGAAACCATTCACTATCCAATATGCTCCGATAATTTACACATCATACCCGAATAACTGATTATACATGTTTTTGAACTCGGTGCTGGGATTATCTATTTACTCGTTAGCTTCTACGTAAATAGCTAATTATGTATTTTGAGTGTAGATTATATTTCTGAAGTCGTGACGTGCTCTATGTATCTATCGTATACTAATATAATTATGTAGGTACCTACTTACTTACTATAGAGAGTGGTAGACTAGCTCCTTAGGAGTGCGTATCTTTGATTATGAGAAGGATTTACATAAGTAACTATAATATGAGCGTGTATTAGAATGAAATCGAAAACTCGCTACAGTTTCAAGCATACAAGTAAGTAGATAGGTATATAGAGAAGGTAGGTTTCGTTTTCTGTATATCAATTAATTGGTTCGATTGAATAAAGTTGGACCCAATAGTAAAGTACCTAAGTAAATGTTTCTTTTTTTTCTATAGTGACTCATAAATCTGAAAGATGAATCATTATTCTAATCTGACTCAGTTGTTACAACCTCGTATGGACTAGAAGGCCGAAATAAATACATTTTTTGAATAGGATCGCGAGTCTTGTTTCAGATTAATTTATTGCAGTTTATTCCAAGTTGCACTAATTTACTTTAATCGTAACTATAGCAATGACCGGTGTTTTTTGTATGGAGTTTGACAGATTTTTGACGTTTGTTAAAGTTAAAGTAAGATGGTATAACTCAGCCTAGATCATTGATCATTTCCAACTAGCTGAGCATAACATTAATTCTAACCATCGTATCACTTAGAAGCCAGTTTCAGCATTGTTGTGTAGTTTCACAAAGCGATGCGTGCCGAGGGGATCGTTTGAGGTAGCGATTGAAGCAAGATTTCATATTGTTCTGACGTGAACACTTGAACATTGAACACGACCATTCAGTCTGCGAACTTGTTGTTTCCATTGTTACTTTTAAGACAAAACATTTTAACGTCTCACTTGAATTACATTTATATTTTAATACTTATTTCAAGTAACTTTTTTACAAAGATGATGGGTGTGAATGATAAAAGGATAGATGAAAAAAATTATAACAATGTAAAATTGTTTTGCATTTTCGTAACTATTTAAAAGCTTAGCAATAAATGTCTGTCAAATCCATATCTATCCATGACACTGACATTTCACTGAATAACACGCCCCCTTAGACAAAACGCACTTTTTGATCGAATCGAAAATCGAATCCGTCAAAACTCCATACAAAAAAGGGGCTTTTCGACCACTTTTCGACTGATTTGCGATTGTAATTTGCACTTTGTCTAGACCCACAGACAAGTAAATAGCTCGCGCAGTAGGTACTTCCCCTACTAACGAGTAATTCCGAGACATAAATGTCATTTTTTGAGCATAGTCATAGGGATACCATACATGATAAATTCAAAATCTACTAATTTTGAAAAAAGGTTCATAAATATCCGATACGTATAAAACAAATAAGTACTCAGTATTTATAAAAGGTCTTTACTTGGTATAGTTATTACGTTGAGCAGTCAAATCGTTGCGTTATTTCCATGATAATATAACAATTATTTTGGATGATCGTTTCCGTGACCATCATTACCGGGAAATAAGGAAAATCCAGTGCCATTCGGGCAAACGCGATCATTTGCCCGAACTGAGTACGTGCGAATCAGTGTTCCTGAATATTTTGTAGCGAACGGACCTGTTAATATGACGGGGAATAGCATTTTCGTATTCTATTATTTTCCTACACTTGGGGATTAAGGTTTTTGTATTTCATTGTTTATATTTTGTAGTAGCTACCTACATTCAACACATTGTTTTCAGATTCGAGTTTTACAAACATTTACTGAAATCCTCTAGAGGTCAAGCTATATCAAATAAACAATTCAACTGTGTTCCGGCGAGCCGACATACTCCAACTTATTTTTGGTTTTAAACTTTTGAATTAAACTGCGAAATGGTTTTCATTTAGGAAATGACTACTAAATAAGTATCTAATAACGATTTAGGTACAAAATGCAAATGTATTTTTTTTCTTCGATTGTAAGAAATTCGTTTATAACCTTTTTTGATGGCGTTAAAAATAATGTTTCCGTCAAACTTCATTTGTTTCACAGATTATCATAGAGTATGTCCAAGTGTGATGTTTAGTAATTTCTGGTAATTTTTTTATTGTGCTAAGTTGAAGTATAATTTTGCAGTGAAATTCCTGAATAGCAATATTATGAAAGGGCAAGCGCTTATAAAGATTATAAAATTGCTTTACAAAATTTACAGTTGTAAGTATAACCACAGAATAATAATAAGTAGGTACTATAACATGTAGATAATTAAATCAACGTTAATTTAAACCCCTCAAATTCCACACATCGAGAGTTGAATCGATTCCCTTACCGATTTTGAATCTTTTTAATATTTTTAAATCATGATATGAAGGTGCAAGCATGAGTGTTAGTTTTTAAAAATGAAAGTACATAACATAATACGACTATATTTCCTATTTAACTTTATGGTTTTAACAGTGTATGTAAGTAAAAAACATCTAAACCCAGGCAAGACATCGGACTGTACATTTTAATTTTTAATAGTAGTTTTAGAGCTCTTTAAAGCTCCTTGCTTGGCATTTTAGAAGTTACCGGAGAAAACTCAGACTGCCGAATACAGGGTTGAAATTTTTATTAACCTGGCTGACTCCACGATATTCTCAGGTTGTAGTCGGGTAGGGTAACTAACCGTCAGGATTTCTCAGGACTTTGGATAACTCAATCAGACAAAAGAATCCCCTGGTAGTTTTCGAACTGGATGTTGCCAGTTCGAGTCCTGTAACAGTCTTGAGGTGATGTCTGAGAATGGCAGGCTTGTTTTATTTTGTGGTTAGTGAGGTTTACAAACTTCAAACCACAGATTATAACTAAGAATACCGTTGAAAATGTAGGTTTTTTAATTTAATAGTTCTTCCTGTGCTCTACTTTGTGACAGTTGAAAAAAAACAGACCTTCCAGTTGACAGAAAAGTGGTTTAGATGTTTTACACTGCACCGTCCCAGCTTGACAGTGTCAGGAGGGCGCTACTATAGTTTTTGATTTTTGCCACTAACGTTTCAAAATCGTTGGACTAATTGCCTTTTTAGTCCTTACTTTACTTTTTTCACTTTAGTGATGCCATCAATTACTTTATATTTTTCGCAAACCAAACTTTCTTAAGGTCACCCTATACCAGACTATATGACTTCACCCGATTGGATTTCTCCCAACATACGCGAGCGGGGAATTTTCCTATAAATCGTTCCCCTGATATAAAACCCTGTAGGAAAATAAAATGGCTCCTATTGTGCTAGCAAATGGACCGCATAGCATAGGAGTTCTTTTGTTTTATGCCTAGAAATACCGGCCGCTTGGTTTGGTGATTCGAGTATTCTTTTGCCTCTTCATTTGTAGTTCGAATGTAGGTAATAAGACGTAATAAATATTACGTAGTATAATCATTACAGCGCCAGCTATTGGTGGCAATGCTTCTTTAGTGGCCGTATTCACTCGCAACACGAATTGTGAAAATTAAGGATAAAAAATAAGAAAGAAGCATGTTTGTTAACAACACAAATCCTCAATGTTTTTTGTTAGACATTTTGACGAATCGTGAAAAAACACGATTCTGTATGCTATTGTTTGAACCAAATAAACTATTTTTCTTTCTTTCTTTCAACGTGAACGTCCGTCCATCATGACGTATCGTTAATGACGGATCCATTGTGAACGCGCCCGATCACATGTTGATGATGATGATGATGATGATGATGATGATGATGATGATGATGATGATGATGATGATGATGATGATGATGATGATGATGATAATTGTTTGTTGCAGCCGGGGCATGGCACAGCGCCACGGTGTGGGCGGTGGTGGGCGGCGCGGCGGCGCTGGCGCTGGCGCTGTTGGCCGGCGTGGCGTGCTGGGCCGCGCGCCGCAAGAACGCGCTCGCTCACAAACTTGGTCAGTACATGCAGAGTTCGTTCGTTTCAGCCAAATGACGTCCACTGCTGGACAAAAGCCTCCCCCAAGGTTTTCCACAATGTACGGTCCTGCGCTGCCCGCATCCAGGCTCTTCCCGCGACCTTTACCAGATAGTCGGTCCACCTAGTAGGAGGCCTGCCCACGCTACGTTTTCCAGCCCGTGGTCGCCACTCGAGAACTTTCCTGCCCCAACGGCCATCGTCTCTACGAGCTATGTGCCCCGCCCACTGCCACTTGATTTTAGCAATTCTGCGAGCTACGTCGGTTACTTTGGTTCTCCTACGGATCTCCTCATTTCTGATTCGATCACGCAGGGAAACTCCGAGCATAGCCCAACATGCAGAGTAAGAAAGAAGAAAGAAAGAAAGAAAATAATTTTATTTTGACAACAACAGATTCAGGGAACAAAGACATACATAAAAAAAATTACTTTGTTGCCAAAAAAGGTCACCCACTCAGTAATATCTTGACAGTGTGACTGTCAAGACACTGATTTTCAGTGGGTGCCTTTTTGCAGCGCTATTTAACAAAAACAGAAAGAAGAGTAAAAAATAATAATATAAACCATAAATTAATAATTCAGTAAATTAATCAAATACAAATTTTAAATTAAATAATAACAACTTACATAATTAATTAAATTAAAACATAACAATATTAATAAAATTCATACATAAACATGTCAAAACAAAAACCATTTCTACTGCATGGCCATAAAAAGTCGAGGCAGAGACAGAAGAAAAAAAAATACATAAAAAAAATACAAATGAGTAGGTCATCTTCATAGAAACGCACCGAGCGCGCTCACATACAAACCGCGCTCGGACGTTTCTATGAAGATGACCTACTCATTTGCATTTACTCTGGTACAGGTCTACTTACTACTTCAAACTCAAATAAGTGAACAGTTATTTAAGTCTCCCTACCAGCCACAACCATTCATCGTAGCTAAAGTTTACTCGTAGTACAAAGAAAAATACAATAATCTAAATACATGATAACAAAATAACAATACAAGTTAACAAAATATTCACTACTGCCTAGGCGCAGACCTTCGATTTTTAATCGGCCGATAGTTGAACCCGATTTTAATTTGTATGAAAATCAAATCGGTGAAATATGCGCACTTCCATACATGCCCATACTGATTAACTGCCCGACTAAACTATCGGGCGACAAAAAATCGGTGGTCTGCGCCTAGGCTTACAACTACACTTATGTCGCAGAAGTATTTAGTTTGATGTGCAGTCGCAGGGAAATTGATATAACCAGGACTTTACGTTTTCCTGAAAGTTCGTAAGTTTATTTTGTGGGCCAGACTAATAGAAACTTCCCCAGGTTCAAAACTCTTCTTAATAGAATGATAGATCAATCTCTATCTAGTTTATCAAAAGGATTCAGTAACTGTCAGGAAGGTAGCGAACGTGGTTAGTAAAAGCGTTAAATATTTATTGCTACAGCTTCCGTTTCCGAAGTGAATTGTTTATTTCTATGCGTTTTATAGCCACTAATGTAGTGTAGGCGCATCTCCTGAGTGACGAGTGGGCGCGTATCGTAAAACGAAACGACATAAAAAGCTTCCTTGGACTTTATGGGGTCCCGTCCACGGGAGGACTAGCAGCCCTGTCTCTGATATGGTAGGACATGATAAGTTACAGAGGACAGCACATCAAGTTTTAAAAACACTGGCATCTATGTCTTTGTAATCTTACTTCTTACTAATATTATGAATGCGAAAGTTTGTATGGATGTCTGGATGTTTGTTACTCTTTCACGCAAAAACTACTGAACGGATTTTGATGAAATTTTAAAGTATTTTTGTTGATGAAAAATTTTAAAGTATGACGATCTGTGACAAACTATATTTCACGCGGGTGAAGCCGCGGGCAAAAGCTAGTAGGTTCTATTTTGCAAACAAAATTGTACAGACCTAGGTAATCTTCGTCAATTCCAATGAATGTAAAAAATAAAATGCGGGAATTTAAGTACTATGGGCTTTCATTTTGTAAAATGGGCTTACAAATAGTTAAAAGGCATTAGTATTTTTCCCCTTCATATTTCTGTCCGTTTGAATTTTTGAAACAAAATATCCTGAAGGAACATCTGAAAAGGAATAAACTGCAATAAAAATAATTTCATGATGCTTACCTGTAAGGGTTCTCAACAAGCCCTTTAGTAGGTACTTTTTAAAGCGATACATTCACATGCTAGAGTTAAGTTTAATAATGACTTTAAACTTTCGCACTCAAGTTCAGTGAGCTCTGTTAATTAGTTTGTGTTATTTCGTCAAGTACAACATTTGCTTACCAACCTAGTAATTACAAAACAAAGCTTGTTATTTTGTGGGTAAATATGTTTGAAGGGTATGATTATAAGGGTAACAAAGTTACACTGTCAATTGGCGACTTTTTATGATTAACAACTTACGATTACCTGTCACAAAATTGTTGATAACGTCTGAATTAATTTGAAGAATCTTAACATTTTGTGATAGATTCTTCTAGCCCTATCTTTTGCTAAAGTCACGCTACATTACAGGAGGCAAGCGTGGCCCAGACAAGGCGCTGGTGTTCCAGCCTCCCCGCCGTGCTACCGCGGTCCGTTCTCCGGGCTCGGCCACGCATTACCTGAGGAAGTCTCCGTCGCCCACGGCGCCCACTGCGCCCACGGCCACCTCCCCGCCCAGGCCACAGCCCACGCCCACGCCCACGCCGCAGAACCCGGTGAGTGAAGAGAGCAGGGATGAAATGGATTATTCCCGTTCGTCCTACCAAGCTTTATTCCACTTGTGGGACTAACCCTTCTATTAAATTTATATTCCCGTTCGTCCCACTGGACTTGATAGTAGGACAAACGGGAATATATATATTTTAAATTCCCGTTCGTCCCACTCAATCAAATAGAAAACAATTTTGGGATGGGTAGTAAGAAATTCACCTTTTGTACCCGTTGCACCACCGGCCTGCACCACTGGTGGTGCAGGCCGGTGGTGCAATGGGTGCAATCCCGGGTTTAATCCCTTTTACACCACCAATAGTGCATTGAAGGCGCATTTGTAATATGACCACCTTCCGAGACAACGATCACGATCTTGCAGCAACAGCAACACAAGCCGGTGAATGCATCACGAGTAGGGACTACTTATTACGCAGAATGAATACGCATGACACGGGACTATTCCCACCTCTCGTTCCCACCGCTGTAACTCCTGTGTAGCTAGGATCTACATACAGCTTGACCGCCTATAAAAACACAACCAGTGAAGGTCAAGTTTGTCCCGGGGGAAAGTTAAACTGTCATTGGACCCGCAAATAAATTAATCAGAAGAACATAGGAGGAGTTCGAAGTTAAGGTTCGACTTCCCTCCATTGCAAAGCGGATGACAGGTGACAAACAAAGGTTTAGTAACCTTTATGAAAAGATATGCACCACGTATGACAAACGAAGACCAGTGTATTGACATTAATTTGTGATCTGATGAAAAAAAGTGAATTTTACTTACCCACCAGCACACTATTTGGCGAACCTATCTTGATTTTAATATAAACTGGACATCACTTAAAAGCCATTGTCATTTGTTTCTTTCTGTTTACACTCGAGGGAAATCGCCTTTAAGCCTTCAGCAGTCATTCACCTTCGATTAATTTCGTTGTGAACCCAAAGTTAAGGTTTCCCCTGGGACCACCTAACCTTCATTGGCTGGGTTTATTGGCGGTTGAGCTGTCAATCTATCAATTGCAGTGGTGGGATTATTCCCTTTAAGTGCAGGGTTAAAGTATCGCCGCTGGAACAATGAAAATAAAGAATGTATGCTCTGTGCAAGTTCGGGATTTAGCTTTGACCTCAGGATGCCATACAACGTCGGGCAACCGCATATTGATCGACAAATACGGTTTTGAGGTTTCGTTGTTTTGGTAGGATGTATGAAACCTCTGGCATTAATGGAAACTATAATAACAAACACTTTAAAACGCAACAACGAAAACTGAAGTAACGTGAAAAACGGCAGATAATAATTTATTGATTAATCTTAAACTACTAAAATCAAATGAATAATATTTTATTAAATTTTGTCCAATATTTTGGCACTTGTGAATGTTAAAGATAATTTTAAAAAGTTAGCCCTGAACAACGGCCCTGTGACACTTTATAATTATGTCTCCTTTCTTTTGGGCTTACCTACTCTTTTATTACTGTAATATTATACAAAGATTTTTCTTAAAACATTTTATATTGTCTAACGACTACTTTTTTACCTACAGCCCACTCAGATTGTACTTATTTACTACAGATAGACAAGAGAGATGAAGCAAGAACAAATCTTATTCCCAAAACCTTAAGGTCTGTTTCTCTACGCAGCCATCCGGAGGCACCAGCCCCCACACACCGACAGCGCCGGAACCGGCCCCGCTCAGCAAGGAGCTCGCCGACGCCAACGCGACCGAGAAGCCAAAGCCGGTAGACAACGAGCCAGCCAACGAGGGCCGCCTTGGAGACCTCCACTTCAAGCTCCGGTATGTTGACGTGGAAGAAGTGGTCTGAGAATATATCGATTTAATGTGTTCGAGCGTTTTATTCAGTTTAGTCACAGAATAATAATAAGTACTACGTACAGAAGTTTTGCTTCGCGAAGGTATTTAAAAAAATGTATGCTCAATGTCATTAACAATATGGTGTAATTTAGCCTGTCTCAAGAGTCAAGCACCATTTTGTTGACAAACGTCAGTGATCGGCACTGCGCCGAAGCTATAGGGCTGACTTCGGTAAAATGATGTGACGTGAGGTGCCAAACTGCGGAAAATGGCGGAGGAAATACATGATTTAGCATGAATTATCATGAATAATATTAACTACTTATTTACCTCTCAGTGTCTTGAGGCAACTGAAAAAAGTACATTTTGTGTTTTTATTATTATTTAGGCAGTTGAATACTGCACAGTATTTAGTACACCATTTTCTTTATTTTCTCCCATCATACACAAGAATACGCGTGCGTGAGTCAATGTTCGCTCGTATGTGAGGCCTTGTCGAATAGTATCCTGTAGGTGGGCCATCGTGCGTGTTTTGTTTTCGATGTAAACTCGCGGAGATGAACAGGCCTGTTTAGTCACAGAATAATAATAAGTACTACGGTTTAGTTTTGAAATTAACTACAGATCTAGCGCTTATCTGAAGCAGTGTCAGCAGCGGAGACTTTAGATGTGCTTCTTTGTATGCTCTGTCACGTCTTATATGTCACCTCCCCCGTGTCGCTCCCATACCACAGGCTCATTTATACACTAGACCTGTAGTTTCTTTTGGAAATTGACTATTTTTTAATAAAATATTACAAACAGATTATGGAAAGACCATACCGTATGGAAAGTAATTCCAATGGTCTTACAGTTAAAAAACTTATTTCAGTTTGGACAATATTTTGAAGGTAAGTAGAGACCTTAACTAATTATAATTTTTATTTATTTGAAAGAAAGACATACAAGCAGGAAAAACATAGATACACAATGAAGGAGATACACAAATTAATGTACAGATAGCTGCTTGTGCCCCTCTGACAAAAAGGCACCCGATCAGCTAATTGGTAGAAAGCGGGTATTATGCTTTGTTTATTTATTTATTTATGCAACATAATTAGCTTACAGAAAACCCAAAGCGCTTACATGTTTAGTCACATTGATTACAACTAATTACAATTGGTAATTATTCAGTACTGGACTGTCATGTGTATATTAAGCTGAAATGTTGAAACTAATCGAAAGTTCGTTTACCTAAAGATAATTAAGTAGGTAACGCACGTATACGGTACTCTCATAAAAAGGCGGTTTAATAAAATAGCAAACAACCATCACGGTGATGTAATATTATGATGATTAGCAAAATAATTTCTAAGCGGCTGTCGCCCGAGGCATCGAGTGGTGGGCGGCACTGGGCGGGCGGCACCGGCGACGGTAGTAATCTCATTACTGGGCCCAAACTCGAGGTCAAATGCTAATCTTTAGTTATATGCCCGTAGATTACTAAATTATTTGGACATTTATTTAATGGAAAAACATAGGTATAATTTGTTTTTTAATGAAGAATAATTTTGGCACATTGACAATTTCAGTATGTCAACGACAATGCCACATAATGTGAATGTGCTAATGTGGTTAAGCAATAAACGATTCAGTATAGAGTAGTGTAGAGTAGAGAGAGTGAACAATATTTTACAAGCTTTTTATTACTTTCACATGTCTGGTGTCTGTCGTCAAATCTTGCAACTTAAAATTTACCCACTTCCCGGTTTTCTATTGAGCTGGAATTTTGCATGCATGTGTAAGTCGGATGACAATGCAATATTATGATGACACGGAGCTGATCTGATGATGGAGCTGGAAGGTAGTCATAGGAACTCCGCAATAAAACGACACAGGCCTATCGAGTTTGGGCTCGTTTAATTTGTATTGACGAGAACTATAATCCTGTATGGTAACCATTAGGGTCTGATGATGGAGCCGGAAGGTGTCCATAGGAAATTCGCACTGAAACAACACAACCTCGTCGAGTTTGGGCTCGTTTAATTTTTATTGACAAGTACTTTAATCATAGATGGTAACCATCAGGGTCTGATGATGGAGCCGGAAGGTGTCCATAGGAAATTCGCACTGAAACAACACAACCCCGTCGAGTTTGGGCTCGTTTAATTTATATTGACGAGTACTTCAATCCTACATGGTAACCAGGGTCTGATGATGGAGCCGCAAGGTAGTTCAAGGTAGTCATAGGAAATTTGCAATAAAACGACACAATGTCATCGAGTTTGGGGTCATTTGATTCGTATTGACGAGTAGGTACTTTAATCCTACATGGTAACCAGGGTCTGATGATGGAGCCGGAAGGTGGCCTTATGAAATCCGTACTAAATCGACACAACCCCGTCGAGTTTGGGCTCGTTTTATTCGTATTGACGAGTACTTCAATCCTACATGGTAACCAGTGTCTGATGATGGAGCCGCACGGTGGTCATAGGAACTTTGCAATAAAACGACACAATACCATCGAGTTTGGGCTCGTTTGATTCGTATTAATGAGGACTTCAATTTTATATGATAAACAGGATCTGATGATAGAGCCGGCAGGTGGCTATAGGAATTCCACACTAAAACGACACCACCTTATCGAGTTTTCGCTCATTTGATTCGTATTGATGAGCACTTCAATCACATAATATGATAACTAGGGTCTGATAATAAAGCTGGAAGGTGGTCACATGAACTTTGCAATAAAACGACACAATACCATCGAGTTTGGGCTCGTTTAATTTGTATTGACGACAACTTCAATCCTATATGATACTAGGGTCTAATTATGGAGTTGGAATGTGGCCATAGGAACTCCGCAATAAAGCGACACAACCCCGTAGACTTTGGGCTCATTTAATACGTCGCAAGTCGTAACCCTATCAAATGGGAATAATGTTCGTTACATTTAGTATGAATGTAAGTAGTTTCATTTTGATTAGATGAATAACCCATTGCAAAGGTGCACGAGCTGAGAGCTGAATATGAATATTATGAGGGTGTATAAAAAATAATATGTCATAATCACTAACGCTGCGCCTTAACCAAAATGTTTCAATAAATTTCAACTTTTCAAACCCGCATTATAAATACTAAAAAGTCGAAAATAAAATTAAATAAAAAAATATTTTTCAAAAACAAGCTTTTAATGCTCTAAAAAGAATAAAATAAAACAAACCCATCAACTTATTACTTTACTCAATTTATATGATTAAAAGCTTGTCGCGAGATTTACTTGTATAAAAAATACATTAAATACGTAACTTGATCTTGCTAAAACTTTGATCTTAGAAAAAAATCAAATAGTTAAATACATACATCTAGTAAATCTCGCGACAAGCTTTTAATCATATAAATTGAGTAAAGTAATAAGTTGATGGGTTTGTTTTATTTTATTCTTTTTAGAGCATTAAAAGCTTGTTTTTGAAAAATATTTCTTTATTTAATTTTTAACTTTTATCGTTTCGTCTGAATCGAAAAATACCATAGATAAGTTTTCCAATAGCTTCTGTTCGAATTTATCGAATGAAATTTGGCGACATTGATGTAGGTTTAGTCGACACCGCATTATGCTGGCTACAGACAGTAATCCATTTTATATAACTTATAGGCGAATTAGTTCATGTCGCAATACTTTATAGGACTTTAAAAAAGTATGTTTACTACTTTAAATCGTTCTTATAGTTTACATTTTTTGTTTCTATGTAAAAAATACGAGTATTCTTTAATTATAGAGAAGAAATTAATCACCTAGTATCTTAGTTTTAATTCGTTAACTTCCAATTAATTTTGATGCTGATCACAGACATTTTGTTTAATCCTGACTTCTCTAATTGACATCCTCTTAAGAATTCAGAGAGTAAGATATAAGTTTCAGGGAGTATCTCATTAATGAACGAATGGTCCCAATTTGCGATTCGTGAGAAATGGCGATGTAATTGAACAATCGAGTAGACCTACGTCAAACGTTGACAACTTTTTTTGGCGTCTGCGAAATACATTCGTAATCGCCTTTTGTTTTCCAATATTTGCTAATGTGGGAGAAGCTAGGGATTTACCTTCATACCTCTGTACTCAAACAAAATCTATCAAATTTTATGTCGTTGTTACATTTTATCAACAGAGACTGACGTGTCGAGTCGAGGGAAACCCAGTTATTATAAAATCGATAGCGATGTACAGTCGCGGAATGAAAAGGTTCGTCACCTTAGTGTCGGTTTTCGCTTGCACTAGGTACTGTAAGAGTCAAACTTGCCAACATAACCGTGCAAGAAACAATGCTGCTAACATTTAAATAAATATCGTCCCTTAGCTAACAACACCGCGTAAGTCATTTTTAGCAACTTTTCAGGAGACGAAAAAAACTGTTTATTTGAAAAAATCGGTGGATATTTCCTATTGTTACTTATTAAATACTTTATTTAGCGGTTAAGAAATAATTATTTATACTTAATTTGACGATTTACTTTATTTTAACCTATATTATATGACTTGAGCGGTGTTGACTGATATTTTTGTAGAGTTAGGCGGTGTTGTTTGCCGAAATGTAAAGGAATAAGGTATTAATAGATGATTTACAAAGAAAAATTATATTAAGAATTATTTAAAAAATAGTTAAACAATCATTATAACCTATGTATCTTTAACCTAAATCTTAGAATCACAGTGTGTAGATCAAATATTGTGATGGGGGGCCTTCAACGCGAAGCTGGGCAAACGAAACGACAATGAGCTGGAAGTGGGGCAATTTGGGTACGGAGAGAGGAACGCACGTGGCTAACTGCTGGCTGGCTTTATGGAGAGGGATGATGAACTCCTTCTTCAGAAAGCCAAAACAGCGAAAGTAGATTTCGCTGCATCCCAATGACGCTATGAAATATGAGATCAACTTCATCTTGTCGACGTAGAAGCATGTTGTCTGTGCGGTCAATTTGGTCAAAACAGGAAGCAATCACCAA